GGGGGGGGGGGGGGGGGGGGGGGGGGGGGGGGGGGGGGGGGGGCGTACAGGCCTAGGGTCATCGCCACGATCCCCCAAACAGCTTGTTGCAAGCGAATCACTGGACTTGATTCGTTGTCGATAGCCAGTACGTCGTTCCCCACGTAGGGAATGTTGTGGCGTTTTACCCTCCTTGTTTTTCTTCCGTGGAGTTCTTTTTCCCAAAGAATGCGGCGCACTCCTTTGTCGGGCATACTGCCAGGCCAACATTTTGCCCTGAGGCCTTTTTTTGGCGAGTGTGTGTGTTGTTGGGATGGCGGCAAATGGGAAAGAGGGTGTACCACTCTCTCTTTCGAAAAATAGTGTACCACTCTGTCTCTGGTTGGAAAAATAGGGACCGATATGATGCTTGTTGTCTTTTTCCGAATGGCCGCTATATTTCAAAACAGAGTGAGAGGTTAAAGTGTCAAGAGTCAGCTGGTTGCCCACCCACTCGCCTACCTCGCTGCTGTTTGAGAGCGGGTGTTGGTCTGTTTCGAGAGGAACCTTCGAGACTGGACCCTTTCAGACGAGTCATGGTGGGAACCGTTCTCCGATGCTTTGCTCTCCTGTGTTGCGAATCCAAACGGCTCCGGCCGGTGGGTTGAGCGCTCCAGTCGACACCTTCTCCGATTGGTCCTTTCTCAGTTCCGTTTTGCGCCGGGGTCGACGTCTTGGTGTGCGTCATCACCTGTATTAAATAGTACTTCGAGAGCAGCCAAATAAGACGTGCGCTCGCAACAGTGCAGCGACGGAGACCCCCGCGGGCCTTGGACATCATCCATTGCGATTTCGTGGGGGATGCAGTTAGTTTATTCGGCCGGGGTAACGTCGGGGATTGAAACTCGGCGGGTGAGTCCCACGGCCAAGAGTGACTTTAGTGCAGAGAATGGGACTTGTTTCTGTGCGTGTGTTTTGTATCGACCGTGTTGCCCCCCGCCCCCTCGGTCGTAGCCCTTCTTTTCCCACGCTAAGAAGAAGTTGAACTTGGAGGGGGGGGAGGGGGGGGGTTGGGGGACGTTTGGAGGGCAATCCCTCCCCCCCCCCGCCCATCGTAACGTTTTCGCCGACCGGAAGGACGGCTATTTTCTTATTCCTTCCGCGGACTTGCTGGCAGAGAGAGAGTTGGGTGCGTCGTGCCTGATTGCCTTTGTTCCCCCGTTGTGACATAGCTGCCGGAGTAGCTCAGTCGGTAGAGCTCAAGACTCTTACTCTTGTGGTCGAGGGTTCGAGCCCCTTCTTCGGTGCTTCTTTCCCCCCCACCCCCCCCCATGTAGTCGCGGAATGTCCGTTGTACAAGAAGGAGAGGGAAGTGTACGTGACTGAGCTGGGAAAAATAGATGGAACGTACAGGGAGATGTTTGAGGCATGGAATAGAGAGGAAAGGACGGTAGCTGTACTGGGGCATAGGAGGTGGGTTGAAAAGGCGGGAAGGGATATCGTTAGGATAGACAGACTAGGGAAGACATTTTTGAGCCACCTTTGGCAAAGTAGGAAGGAACGATTGGCCATCGGTGATCGGTCCTGTGGGAACAATGCTCCGTCCTCTCGAGGACGCGTGGTCAATGGTCTAACCGCTAAGACATGCAAAACATAAGAGTACGCCCCCCCCCCCCCCCCCGACCCCCCCCCGGGTGTTTGCCATCGGGGTTGGGTTTTCGTCGCTTGGCAACGACGTACCCCCCCCCCCCCCCCCCGTCTTGGAGAAAACCAAAGGTGACTGCAAATCTGCCTGCTAGCGAAATCAAACGGGTTGCCGATCTTCTCTGCAGGACCCTCGCCAGACGAGCCGGGTGTACGGCACCGACTCTTCGACAAAAAAAAAACAATAACGAAGAACAAATAATACAGCACGGACAGCACTCACAGGCTACCAGGAACAACGTTCTCCCGCTTACCCTTCCGCCTTGGCCGCAAACCAAACAGAGCCTTATGTTGCTTCATGCTCCCGAGCATACATATATACGGCAACCTCCCCCCCATTCCCGGAACCCCAACGCGGGCGAGTTAGACGCGCATTGCTCCTCTTCCTCTTATTCCTCCGCCTTGCCCCCGCGCCCCCATCTTGTCTATATCGTCACCGAGGCAAACTTTTCCCTGAGGCTCTCTGGGAGGTCAGCCTGCTCCTTCTTGCGTCGGATGTGATCCAGGGTGTTGTTAAAGTACCTCTCCATCTCAGTGCGAGCGTCGGACGGGTCCAGGCTGTCCACGTGCTCGTGGATGAGGGCCACAAGGCCCGAGATGTAACGCCCGGCGATCTGATTGGCGGACGCGGGGCGCAAATGCATGAGTCTATTGACCGCGAACATCGGGGTGAACATTTCGTGATGGAAGCCCGCTTTGTCGCTGAGAATTCCGACCAAAGACTCCCTTTTACTCAACAGTTTGTTGTCTTCGCATTAAAAACTGTTCCAATCTCTCTGCCCAGTATCTTCATCTATCCGTCCTGTACGAGTGCTTTCTACAAGTGTTTATATACCGGGTGATGGGGCCCGGAGACATACCACACCGTGCCGCACGTTGACTTTGTTTCTTTGTTCGTGTCAGGCACGGCCTGGCCAACATTTCGCATGTCACACATCCCCCGTGTAAGCACGTGTCTGGCTCCGTGCTCTGTTAACAGCTGTCCTGGCTCTGTTACGCACACTCCTTGCTCTGTCAAGAAGATTCTTGATCTGGTGAGGACAGTATTGCTCCGCTAGGGACACTCTCCCTCGGTTACGAAGGTTCTTGCTCTGTTACCCAAGAACGTTCCGCCTTGCTCCCGTTTGCACCCAGTTGATAACATAGCGTTCCGATCTACCGAGCGTGTCCCACGCCCAACCTCACAGCTACATACCTCGGGGTTGTCTGCCTCGAAGAAGAAGATGTAGTGGTTCAGGATCTCGATGAACAGCTGCGCGTTCATTCCCCCGGCGATACACACGTCCGCGATCTTGAGAGACCGCTGGAGGCACTCCAGGACACGGCGAGCGTCGCGGCGACCGGGTGCGGCCTATGGCCACGTCAGGTTCAACAACAGGGCCAGGGGCGGCGGGTAGTGATGTTATGCATGCCTCAGTGGTGAGATCATTGAACATGCGTCCTCGAGAGGACGAGGCAAGGGGTGGGCGGGCGGGGGGGATTGCAAAAGCGCGAGGCAAGAGAAAAGTAAAAAGCGGGGGGGCATATCCCATGAAAAAGGAATATGCGGGCAAATTTTATCGTGAAAATAAGACCGGCGAGAAGGAAACACAAAAAAACAACACATTTTAAGGGGGGGGGGGGGGGGGG